TGGGAAAATTTGTCTAAGCAATCTGACAACCCCATCGGGGGAATGCATGCGTGTTTATTTAATCAGAACTTATAATTTAATGTCAAAGGATATTTAAAATTCTTCGAGTATTGTTTGTTTTGATTAGTTTTTTTGCCCTAAAAGTGAATACTTTTTTGTCTAGTGTGGAAAGAGAAGTTTATAAATGACTTACTGAATAAGAAATATCCAAAATTATCTAAATTCTCTATTATGAATAAAGGGGTGTATAAAGAATTACTTCAGAAAGTTCAAAAAGCTAAACTGACATCGAAGAAAACTTCATGGCAGTGTCGACTCATGAACCATTTTAACCCCTTCGCGCCGACTGTCACGTATACGTGCCAGCAACGAACGTACTTATCTACCGGCCGACATGCAGGCGTGCCAGAGCAATGTTGCGTTTTCTACCAAATGTCACGTATTTGTGCCAGTACCTTGGAACGTTTTTCAAACTATAATTTCTGCCACAAGATGGCACTGTATGCCTATATGGTTTCAGATACATGTACCTTAGACCTTCTACTCAAAATGAGAGAAGCATGACTCACATACACGTGTTTTTGATTATATAAACAAACGGGAAATAAATGTTTCCGAACGGCGTGATTTATTATGACATCTCTTAAATCGCACTTATTCGCACGTGGTAGTTGTTTAATTTAAGCAGAAGTTTTTATATGCGCTAAAGCGTTGAGTATTTCGGTTTACAGTTTAGTTTTTAGAAAATAATTAGATCTTGTTAGACGTGAATTCTTTCTGTTTTACCGTTTCATGTCCGAAGCGTCGAAAATGTTTAACAGAGCATGAAATAGCAGAAATGATGCAAAATATTTCAGATATTGATTTCTGAAATTCTGATATTCTGATGTTTATTCTGAAAGATTAACTGAAAGACATTTTCCAAAACTTTGTTCAGAAGAAGACTGATAAGAAAATGAGACGACGATGCTTCGTTTGTTCACATTCCCGGAAAAAATCCTCCAAAACGGTAAAATGGAGTTATTACGAGTTCAAGGAATGTAACGTAGGACTGTGTGTAGATCCCTGTTTTAAAATTTTTCATACGAAAAGAGATTTTAAGTAATATATTTAGTTTTCAGATGTATAATGTTAAAAGTCATAAAATGGTGAATAATTAAAATAAAATGTGTAAAATATGCATTTAACAAGAAATAAGGTAATTAAAGTATATATATAAAAATATCTATAAAGCATAAGCCGTGTAAATACTCTATAGAGCATTATTAAACAATGCGTTGATACTTCAGAAATTTCATGGATTTAGGCTTAGTAGCAAAAAAGCCCCCGGCCCTGGAGAGACGCTCGCGGAAGACACTGCCGGCCTCCGCGATAAGTGCGCGTTTTCGCTACCCGGCTCGAAGGGGTTAACATCCTAAAAACGGGCAGCGCTCCATGAATAATTGCGAAGTCCAGGAGTGATGAAATATTAGATGATGTTTTCAATGTAATAAGGAGCTCACATAGCAGTTGGACACGGAGATCACAATCAACTTCAAATGGAAACAAGTAGAATATATGTAAAATAAAGAAAGCAGCAGCCTTATATTGAGCATAGATTTTAGTCATGACTATCGATTTCGAGGGTAAACAAGTGCAAGTACTAAAATTTATGCCAAACATGGTGTTGTTTCTAATTTTATGTTTTACTTTAACGTGTTTCTCTTGTCTTGAGGCAGAATATATGCTAATATTGCTACAAAAATGATCAAATTGCTCCTGTCAGTTAGCAAATTCTGCAATAGAAAAACAAAGCTAAGAACGGATTAGTTTCTAAACCAATTTTGCACATTGAGTTAAAGAGTTGATGCTAAGTGAATCTTATCAATATGCAAGGTCAAGCAGATGAGCAATACAAATTCATCATAGTTTATCAAGATTATCTCACCAGGTTTATTTTATTAAGAGCTTTAACATCTAAATGAGCAGAAAAAATGGCTTATAAATTAAAAGAAATATTTTTGACAAATGGAATGCTGTGTATATTACATAGGGTTAAAGGCCAAGAATTTGTCATTTACATTATAAATGAATTTAAATCATCATGACCAGAACTTAAAATTGTATGTGGTAAGCCATACTGCAGTCACAGCCAAGGCTCAGTTGAATGAGCCAATCAAGATACTGAAAATATGACTGCTGCATGTGTGTCTGATAATAAAAATGTAAAATGGTCATAAGGTCTTTTTTAAAGACTTTCTAATAATTGATTTTGGAATTTGATTGTCCTGGAAGATGCTAATGAAGTATAGAATTTCTTCTTGTAGAAGGTCTGTGTTATTATAGATTCTTTTTATTCTTAGAAGTTGTGAATTGATAATATTAACTATGATCCTTTTCGAAATGTTAGAAGTCCAATTAGTGAGCTTGAGCATGTGAAATTTGAAATCTCTGTATTTGTCATAAATTTTAATAAGACTGTAATTAATAATTTGAATATGAAGGTAAACTATGTCATTTTGCTGTGTGTTAGTGGTGTTAAGTTTAAGGCTAGTAGGATATATATTTGTGCGCTCTATTTTTTTGAAGTTATTAAAGGTAAGTATGCCATGTATATATCTATAAACGTGTTGGTAATACTTTTGCTAATCTTTGATTCAGTGAACACATAAATTTAAATTCTTGAGTGAATAGGAACAATCCACAGATTGCTGTAGAACTATTGGCATCCATAGGTATTCCTTGGACTTGTTTAAATATTTTGTTATCAAATTACAGATAATTGTTAAATAATACACTGTTGAGGAAAAGTTTCCATTCTTCTGTAGTGACTATTGTAAGGATTTGTGGAAAAATCTCAGGGAGAGTGATTAGGATATCTTGAATTTCTTCTAAAGGCAAAGTGGTGTTGAGATTTTCGAAGTCGTAACATTGAACATTGTCTATTTTAAGTGCATTCAATGTCTCAATTATTTTTTTCTTTGTTATTAATAATCCAGTTGCAGTGCTGATCATGAAAATTGAAGTAATTAGTCATGTCTAGTACTAGTTTAAGTTTCTGGGCAAAACAATAGTCGATTTCTTTTGAAAAATTCTTGGTACCATTTGCAATGTATCTGAATTTGATATGTAATGCCTTGAATTTGTTGAGAACTATTATAGCAGTTTTAATTGGCTGATAAGTTCTGGTGCTAAGTAATTCCTGTTGAATTAAGTCATAGCAGAATTTTTTCAAATGATACTGAAGTTATTGCTCGCTTTGTCGATCTTAGTAATGATGAATCGATCTCGTAGAAGCTTGAAAAATTTCCCAGAGATTTCTCATCATGAATCTGGTGAAAGATGCAGATCTTTTGGTCAAAGTCTTTAAATATTGCTGCTTTCCATTCTAGAAAGGTAGTAGTAAGCAGGTTAGCTTGATAGCTAGCTAGTACAATAAAGGTATTGAGATCACTGCTGTATTGCTGTAGGCAAAAGTTCTCGCTAAGCTGGAAAGTGGGACGAAATTTAGTCCCTAGTTGTTATCGTAAGTCAAGATCGAATGATGTTCAGATCTCCTGTGATGATGTGCGTATGATAAGAATCTACATATTTACTGTTCTCTGGAAGTTGGCATTCTCACCTGTTATGAGCTAAAATATCGTGGTGATTGGTAATCATACTGCCTATTGTTTTTTCGTATTTAAAACAAGGGGTAACCTGGAGTTGCTGACTTGGTAGAAGATAGTGATGCTTTTTAAAAATATGACTAATATCGATCTGATCATATAAAGGGTGTCTGAATCGTATAGTGCAAAAGCTTTTTTTATGGAAAAATTAACTTTTTTTTTCAATTTATAATTACAGAAGTCTTTAATTAAATCTTTAATTATTTGGCATCCATTAAATTGTCTTTTAACTATGTTGAGAAGTTTCCATAATGTAATGTTTTTGAAAGAATGCAGTAAATTAATTGAATTGTGAAAGAAGTCTTTTGAAAGAATGTGCTAAATATTTTAATGACGCTGTCCAAGTCTTGAGTGGGGAAAAAAAAAAAAAAAAAAAAAAAAAAAAAAAATTCTATTGCCAGGATTTTCTCCTCTTTTACGTCTGGGGATTTTAGTAGTAAAAAATCTAAATTGCCCCTAAATAGAATCTTCTTCTTGCCTGTTAGTAATGTTGTTCAGATGAGTGTTGAGCCCATAAGGGTAAAGTGCTGTTTTTTGTAGGATGTAGATTGTATATATGTAATAATTTACTGCCTAGTCATGATGGCTGAATGAAAAAGGAGGAAGAAGGTGCTGACAAAACTGAGTTTGGCGAATCACTGCCTTTATTTTTTACAAAGTCCCCAAATTAAATAAAAAATAGCCAATTAAAATTAGAAGTTTGCTTTCATATTTTTATCTTACATATATATAAAGTTATAGCAAATTGTGTGTTTGTTTATTAACAGCTGGTGTCATGTGTAAAGTAATATATTATGTTTAATAAGGCTGTGATTAATGAAGAGAATTGCAAAAGTTTTCAAAAATCTGATGAAATAATGCAAATTTATTGCTTTTTTTAATTCTTCTTCTCGTGTATTAGGATGTTACTTTTATGTTTTGGGATTCAAACAAAGGATTTCTTTTTCTGTTTCATTAATGTAGAAGTAGGGTTTCAAGCAAATTCTTTTTATTTTGATGAATTTACATTTGAGAGAGTGTAAATAGCACTGACATCAAATGCATATGAAATCAATGATGTCTGTTTTAACATTGATTTAAGAAAATAATTATACTGTTAAGTAATTTTGAGAAAAACTTTATAAATCTGATTGTTTTTGTGATCTACAATGCAAATTTTGAAAATTCAATCTCTATGCATGTAATAAATCTTTGTCTGCACTTTCAATCATCTGTTTTCAAAATCACTGACTAGTTATTTTTGTGTGTGTATGTAGTTGTCAAATCCCCCCTTTTCTGTGTATAGTGCTTTTTTTTTTACACATACATGCATATATATGTTTATATAAACATTTTATATTCAATTTATTTCAGGTCTCTTGGTATTGTTGCAGTTATGCAATATTGTCGATATTTATGAGTATGTACCTTCAATGCGATTGACAAAACGCTGTCACTATTTTGATGTTCATGAGGATATTGGATGTACTTTGGGTGATTGGCATCCTCTTGCATCTGAGAAGCTTTTATCACTTGCTCTGAATGAAGGTTCAGATAAAGATATTTTTGTAACTGGTAAAATTAAACTGTCTGGTTTCAGAAAACAAGTATGCTAAATCTTGAAGTTGAAAGTTACAACTAGTTTTCAGATATGTTGAAGTATTTGTGTTTTCTTTTCCCAAGTAAGTAGAATTTTGTTTTATTCTTAATGTCTAAGGGGAAAAAGCTTAAGGTTTACTATTTAGTTAACCTTTCTTAAATAAACCATATCTATTCCACATGAAATTATCCTCCATAATAAACTACGATTTTTTTAACAACATTGCACTAGTGCCATTGTCTTTATGTAACAGTCCCATCTCCTGACCTCTATTTTAAAGAAAGTGAAAAGAAAGGAAATTAGATTGGATGCTCACATTTTACCATATAAAAGTATATATGTATATAAACAGTTCATTGTCGCATTTGTGAAAGTGCAGATTAACTTTTCCTAGGTAATAAAATTAATATTTATATAGAGCAGTTTAAAAAATAGTTAAATAAATAATGCTTTTTTTCAAATGGGCTTATTAATTATTTTATGGTATTGCATTAAAAAGTTCTCAAAATTGGCATTTTGTGTTTCGTTGTTTCTAATTCAATTTTCCATTCTTATTGTAATCTGTCTACATTAAAAGTCCTTTTTTTTTATTGTCTCATTCTGTTTATATTAAAAAAAGCTCATAAAAAATAACAGCCAAGCTTGCATAAACATGCATGGGTAAATATATACCTAGTTATAAGATTTCTGAGGTATTGGTTTTTCAGATTGTTTTTTCTCATTAAAAAAATAATGCTGTTGATTAAGGATAATGATTAACTGTGAGTAGACAGAATGGAAAGCTTTCTCTTTGACTTCACTTAAACTAGCTTCCAACTGTATCTTGTTGATCACCCAGTAATTGATTCTCTAATATATGTCCAAGTATATTTTAAAGTACTTTACAGCTCAGCTTTCAGCAACTCCTGGGACAACTGTTTTTTATGAATCAATTGTTTAATGATCTTTTTAGATGACTTGACTGATTGTGGAATGTAGCTAAGTCTAAAGCCGTGTTTTAAAAATACACATTGTTTATGTTATGCCTCCAAGATTTATGTGAACTATGTTAAGAATTTTTTTTAAGTCTTACTCTTACCATATAGTTGAATTTTATTTTTGAAATGTTTTGAGCATTATTTTTAAAAGTTTCTGAAATCCTGAACAATCTGTGTAATAGGAAAGTAGCAAGTGAATTTTGAGTTCTTTGGTATTTAAAAATAGCAATTTCAAATGCATGTGTTAAAAATAGCAAATGGTTGTTGGAATAAAACTATTAATTAAAACAAAATTGCAGTAAAGTTTGTTCAGCTTTTCCTTGAATAATTCCTGAAATGAAACATAATGCTAAAATTTGCGTATTTTTTAAGTATGGGAAAGCACTGTTTTCCTGTACTTTGAATCTGAACCACGTAAATATACTGAAATGAACTGTAAAATGCATGCGATGAAAAAATTCTTAAACAATGAAGTAAGTGAAAGATATATAGATGTTTTGTTTCAACTTTGTGGTAAAGAATGTGATGAGATTCATAGGATGCAAACATAATTAAACAGCCCTACCCCTTTTTTTTCCAAATTCATACTTGCATGTTTTAATTGATTATTAATGCTAATAAAAATAATATAAGTGTGTTTTTGTTTCTAATAATTTGGTATGAAAATAATCGAATTTAATTTCTTTGTTAAACTTCCAAGAAATTGAAAAACAAGGGATTTTCTAACAAGTTGCTGCTGAAACACACTTTTTTAGAATTTTATTTAATCTCATTAACCTTTCATCATTATTATTAACCATTATAATACTTATTCAAATACATTTTGTGTTTCATTGCTTATGATTCAATTTCCTGTTCTTATTGTATTTCTCATTCTGTCTATATTAAAAATATGACATCCAAAGTTGCTTAAACTTTTATGTGTAAATATCCACTGTAAGATTTCTGAAGTATTGGTTTGTTTAGATTTTGTGTCTTTTTTTCATAAAAAAAAATCATTCCTTTTATTTAATAGATAATCTTGATTTTAATACAGATATTTAACAATGACAGAAAATGTATTGTTAAAAAATCTGTATGTGTTAATAATGCTGTGGTTTTTAAATCAGTGTCCTCATAATTTTATTTATTTATTTTTATTTATTTATTTCAACATTTTCCTTTAATATTCATGATCTCTTTATTTTCTGTATTTTAGTTGGAAAATGATTTTTTTCGTTTGTTTACAAATGAAGCATGAAGCACAAAAGAAAAACCTTTTTTTTTAATGAGATGCTTGGTTAGTTGAAACTTCAGTGCGGTGCTTGTGATTGACGAATGTAAAAGGCATAAAATGACTTTATATTAAAATTCCGTTTATCCATACTAATAGGGATGGAACAGTTTAGGTAAGTTCTTTTTCCGTCAGATAAGAGCTTCTTTTCTTTAAGAATAGAAATGCCTTATTTTTACACACATCATTTTCAGGAGTAATATATTTGAGTATTTATAGAGTAAAATAAGCTTTAAAATTTTCATTTTTAAATGACTTTTCAACTAACTTAACTTTCATTGATGAGTTAGCTTAGAAATTCCTCACACGAAGGCATTCCTTCCATAAGGCAGACAATCTTCATGTACTTTGTCATAACTTAAATAATTCAATCTAATCCCTGTCAGTTCATCATATCTTTATCCAATCCAACATATGGGATGAGTAGGCCCAAAATGAAAAACCAATGGAATGACTTGGTATTATTTGGGGAATTTAGATACTTTCTATCAGCAAAGTCATTCAATGCCTGACCACTTTCAAAACTGTTTTGCTTGTGAGCAGTGATGGTTGTGAGCTCTGCTTTTTTGTCTTAACAGGAGTGAGCACGTGCTGGCGGCGGGAGGGATACAAAGCTAACTGGTCACCTGTTTGCTTTTGTTTGGTGTATGCTTACATTGGCTGTATTTACACATAGTTTTTATCATTTCTAATTTCATTAATACAGCTGCTTGCCTAAGTTTTTAAGAGTCATATTTATTACTTTAAGTATTATTCAGCATGGCTAGTTCGACCAAAAACAAAAGTGCAGAATAAGTGTGATAGAGAATTTCAAGCTTGGTGGACTGAGAAGCATAGAATGATTAATATAGGCAATAAAGCAGTGTGTGTTCCATGTTCTGGTACAGTGGTATGCAGAAAATTGTCTGTAAAGCAGTTTTATGAAACTAATCAGAAATATGGAAAAAAAATAAAGAGAAAAACTGGAACAAAAGGAATTTATTGCATCTGTAATTGAAGAGTAAAATAAGCAATCAACATGTGTGATTGAATATATTAGCAAGGATTGCCATACTAGTGCGATAAGTGTTTTGACTGCAAATGTCATTGCCTAGTATAGTAAACCTTTTAGTTGAGTTGTAATTTTTGAAGGAAGCCTGGTTAGCATGCACCATCACTTTTTGAGAATTTTTAAAATATGGATAAAATAATTCAGCACATTAAAAGTAATCCTTTATCTAGAAACACAGTGAAAGACAATAATCCTAAAACTGGCAGAAAAATGTAAAACAACAAAAACATGACATCAAGCATTTTCCTTTTATATTGCTATGTTTTGATGAAAGTATGGCTATAACCAAATCTACTTAGTTGCGTTTGCTTAATATTGCAAAAGTAACGCCATCAAGGAAGAAGGAATTACAATAACATCGTTGCCAAAAACTATGAAAGGCACACCTTTTTGTTGTAAATTCCTTTGCCGAGAAAGAAATAGATTTAAGTAAAATTTTGATAACGAGTGATGCTGCTACAGTAAAATAGGGGAAAATAATAGTTTTATTTTTCAGTTTATTTCAAACACACATTGGACATTCAATTCTTGAATTCCACTGCATCATATATCAACAAACCTCTGAAGTCTGGTCCAAGGTGTATGTTGTCTGCAACATGATAAATGAGCTCTCTTGCTAAATGAGCTGCACGCCTTTATCTCATGAAGCCATTGGGAAACTGAAGACTGTGAAGCTTGCATTCCAGTGGCAGCATACAGCTTACAGGAGAACTGTGAAGCTGTAGCATTCCTTGGTCACTGCAGTGAAATTGCCAAATAACGATACTCATTTGTCATTGTAGATCTTGGACCTTGTTTAAGTTTTCTTGATGTGGATCTAGTGTCCTTAAACTATTTCCACAAATTGCAGATGACACTGGGCATTACATTGAGCTGTGTACCCACCTTCAGTTCTAATTGGCCTGCATTTTCTGTCTCATTCCATCATCCATTCATTCGTGACTACTCATTTTTAACTGATACCTTTTAAAATTTACTCAACTCTTAAAAAAACACATCAAACATCATGAAGAAGTATGAGCACATAAATTGCCACAAACCCTTCGCAATCACAGCTCTACAGATGCGGACGTATATTTGACTTCTAATAGTTGCATAATATGTAACTTTGGTTCAACACTTTTCATAAAAATGGTCACAATTTGCAAGTTCTCTTAATTTGTCATACAAGTATTTATATATACAGTACAAAGTCCGAAATCTGGACTCATCAGGACTTCGGATTTGGGATTTTTCTGGATATTAGATCAATTTAAATCTGGTAAGATTGCATGCAGAAATTATACAATTAAAAAGATGAAATTGTAATTTATGAAATAAAGTGCAATCATGATCTCAAGGGTATTAAAAAAAGAGGCTTAATATTTATTTGTTTACTTGATTGAACATTTCTTTCAGTGTAAGTTGTTTAAGTTGCTTCGTTTTTTGTGCTATTAGTTTCTCTTTAATTCTATCAACAGACATAATTTCTTATTCAGTTACAAAATTCCACTGTTCAAGTCTTGTAATTGCTGTGTTGAGAATACCAACTAACTTGTCAATCGAAACTTTTTGATTTTCAATAACCTCTCTGTCACTTTCTTCACTATCGGTAGCGGTATTTCTGGATCAAGAACCATACTACAGATTTCACTGTCTGCTAATTTATTGATGATATTGACATTGTCATCGCAATGAAAAACTTATGTTATATCATCTTCATTTATTATGGCTTCCCCAAATTTCTTTACAAAATTAGCTTTAGCTGCATGGCTTTGAACTCATCATAGTTCCCTTTTCTTACAGAGGTGTTGCCATTTCATAGTGGACATGTCTTTAGATGTGGGGATGTATTTAAAATCACAGAACTTAAATAGGCTGATAAGTACATTTCCAAAGCAGTACATCTTCATGTCAGTAGAGTAAAGTCTCTTGAAACTGTTTTTACAAGTTGCAAGTGATACTAAGCATTATATTGAGCTGTCTAGTAATCTGAAGCTGGGATTTTCCTTGCTTGCAGTCTACCAATGATTCTTCACTTAATTCAGTCATCTAAACATGGGGATCATTCATGCTACTGTACTGCTGATAAAATTTAATAACATTTTGCAAAAAACAGCCACTTTTCAATACCTTCTGCTGTTGCACATCTATCTATTTGTACAAGTGAAATTACATATTCAACACCTGCATTTTTGTATTATTATTTGACCATATATTTTAAAATTTTGTTTCAGTTTTTTTTTTAACTTAAAGAAAATGGTTATTCTCTTAATTTTGAGCTCTAGTTGAGTAAATGTGATACATGATCTACTGAATATGAAAAAAGAGAAAAAAGTAATTTTCACTTTGAAAATTCAAAAGTAGTAGTAGTTTGTCACAGAAAAATGTTTTTGATAGAAATTTCAGGGTAAAAAATTTTGCAGCATTTTAATGAAGAGAACTTAGGTTTGACAAGTTAATCTGAAAAACTAAATGTGCATAGTGACAATTTTAAATTTATATGTTAAGAGCATTAAAAAAGGTCTCTGAAGGTTACGGCATTATTGTAAAACTTTTGCGAAGAGACTTAAGGTATAATAAATATGATACTGATACCTGTGAATTATGCAAGGCAGTAGAAATATTATAAAGTCTTATAATATAGAGAACTGGCTCTTAAAAAATGTTTAAAATGATTTTTAAAGGAAATGCGATCAAAATATATTCAAATTTGTCCTGTGACCATTTCTGAAAATTTCCTTAAGCATAGCTAGTTTAAAAAGAAGTTTTCTCAAAACTGTAATTAAGTCAAAATTATTAAAAATTAATGATGAATAAAGTAGATTGCTACTTTGGTTGGAAAATTGTAACAGTAAAAAATGAGAAGTCAATACCTGAATCTACTATGAAAACAGTCAAGAAAACTTAAGTTTTAATGCATGTTATTGATACAGTTGCATGCATGATATTTTGCTTTTTCATTTTTTTTAAATGTATGTAGGTAATAACAATTTTTAATATTAAAAAAATTTAATTATTATTTTTTTTAATTTTGGTGAAAATCTGAATTTTTTTAATATGCAAAATATGACTGCATAACATTACATGGGAACATTTAAGTGAAGAATATTATTCAAGAAGGGTGAACAGATATGATTTCTATTCGTAGAAACTTAAATATTACAGTCAATTGACATCTCCATTAGTTAAATTTAGTGTTTTATGCAAAATAGATGATTGGAAGTGATCACTGTTTGCCAGCTTGTCGTCTAGAGGTATCATATAATGATTGAGTTCCAAAACAATGCATTAATGAGTCATGGATAGAGGGAAATAAATGTCACCTAATAATAGCTGAGAAGAAATTTAAGAAACCCAGGATTTTCAACATATGGATGACTGTCATCATGATTTAATCTGACAGGATGCTTAAATTGGCAGATATGAAATTCTGTCACATGGCAGAGAGCAAAGGTGATGCAAAACAGAATACAAATGAGAAATTCGTTAATAATTTTATATAATATTGTGAAGTGTGTGGTGAATTATCCCATTTAATGGTTTAATTGGAATCCTTATAGTTAGCAGTAATGAATTTATTTAGAGTACTCACTTCTGGTATAAATGAATTACTTACATACTGTTCCTAGAGGACAATTTCAAACAGGTTAAAAAATTCTGAAATTTTCAATCTGTTTTATAAAATTATCACTTCAGTTAAAGTCCCTGTATGAATTAATATCAGTAGAAAAATTAATATCTGTAGAATTAATTATCAGTTAAAATTAATATCAGTAGATCCTTAGAAAAATGTGCCTATTTTTTGCTTCTCGAACTTTAATTAGTAAAACAAACCTCCCCCTCCACATTACAAGAAATTGAAAAGCATTAAAATAAGCGAAACTTTGAAATATTTACTTTTATGTTACTGTCACTTGTTCCGTAAGTTTTCATAAGTATGAGAAAGATGTTGTTTTCAAATTTTAAGAAAAGCCAGGTTTAACTAAATTTCCAAATAAAATATCAGTTCTACTTTTAGTTTGGTGCCAAAATTTGAAACAGAGATGTGTAAATTTGGAAAACATAAAACAAAGATTATTTTCTAATTATTCGCTCTGGTGTGCTTTATTCCTTAAGTTTGTAAGTTAAAAGAAAGCCTAAAAACATGTTGTTTATAGTAGATAGTTCTATTACATAGTACCCTGGAGGATAATATTGTCATAGCTGTAATGGATATATGATAATCCATTTATAAAGGCATTTCAGAAGGAGAAAGAGCCTTGTGTGTATTCACTACTATTTTAAAAAAGTGCTAAGATTTAGAGATTCATTTGTTGTATAATTGAAGACGCAGTTTTTTTTAATTACCCACAAAAACTGATTTATGTGGTATTTCAGGTACTAGAAGTCTTGAGACAATCACAAGATATCACCATGAATGTGTCAAAAGTGTTTCTTTTGTGTTTGTTCAATACAGAAGTTGAGTGTCAAGATTCTGCCTCTTGAGAAGTCAAGTGTTATTTTTGAATTTTGAAAGAAATTTTGCTTGAACTTAAAATGGATGTTTATAATATTTAATTTCCATAATGTCATGAAAATTTTCATTTATGTATTTTTATATGTAAATGGTGTAGTGCATAGACACCTGTAATTGAATCCTTGATATATGTTAAATTTTGACATAAATCCTTTTTGTTGCATAGATAAGTGTAATAAGATTATGTAATTTCATTGCCTTTGTAAATCTGTGTACTTTCTCATGTTCCATTTTTGGTAATGCCCAGGATTTGAGCAGTTGTGAATTAAACATGACAGCACAAAAGTTTTGATAGCATATGCCTAGGCAAGAAAAATGGGTTTCTTTGGTAAGTGTTAAAGAGAATTTTTAAATTATGTTTATATCTATTTAAATTATTTCTTAGAAATTTGTAACATTTCTGTTGCTAAAATGTGGATTTAAGGAAGAGTTAAATTTTGTAAATGTTCTTTATATTTGTTCCTTATCTTTTTGTTATGATGCTTCTTGGTTACATTAAAATAAATGAAATAACATCCAGTCTACCATCACAAATGTATAATAAATGCTTTAAATGAATACATAAATTGAACATTTTAAAGAATAAATTGTTCATTTTACATTGTTTCAGAACGTTGAAAGAAAGATGAAAGTAGAAAAAAAGGTTAAATGAAACTTACAGGCATTGCTTCTGAAAAGCAAATGAAATATTTTTCATATTTAATCAAGATCACACTTACTGAAAATCTGATTTTTATTTTTGCTTTTTATAAAAATTTAAATAGCGAAACATTAGTGATAAATGTTATTTCTTAAATTTAGCAAGCATTTCATAACTTAGTAAAGTAATGAAATCATGATAGGGCATTATTATTACTTTCAACTGGATGTCAGATTTTATTAATCATTAGAGGTTTTAATATGAACAGAATTTCAATTACACTACAAAGTCTGAAATCCGGACGTCCAATATCCGGACCTCAAAACCACCAACAACGTTTTTTTTTTTTTTTGTAGTCTTTATGCATGCACATTTGATTCCCCCCTTCGCACATAATAAAACATCTAAAGAGTCCCGATTCTTAATTTCCCCTCGACACTAAATAAAATAACTTGTTATTGAAGAAACAATCATGTTAGCATAAATTTGTACAATCAGTAATTTGGCTCCGTTGCTGCATACCTGGTTGGCACTCATGTCAAAACGAAACATCCCACATAGATACATCGTTGATCTGATCATGCCAACCTGGCGAATCGTTATTTATTATACTTTCCTTTCATAACTGCATGTTTATCAACACATGACAACTTGAGTAATGACTCATGTAGTGATGTCTAAACAATTTTTTTATGTTAGTAATTGAATAATAAAGGAGAATGGTAACCTTTTATGTTGACATTATGCTTGGCGATGATTACAGATTTAAGTTAAATGCGCTAAAAAATGTTGACGAGGAAAAATTTAACAAGAATTTGTTTCCATATGCTAAAAGTAGATTTTGTTGATGATATTCGTAGACCCAAAGATTACATTTAGGGCTATTTGAATTAGGAATAACTGATTTGTTATTCACATAAGCCCAGAAGCAGCACCAGGGTTAGTATTGCCACACCGTGTCTCAGAATATAGGATCCACAGAGACTGCATCAGGTGGTAAGATATCTAGTGCTGGCCCTCAATAAGGCTTAAGTATATGTGGGAATTTATTTATTCAGAACTCTGATAAGCCTTAAGCATGTGCAAGAAATATAATAAATAACTAAACTAATACAATTCAGGCTTAATTGTCTCAGTGTGCAATAGAAGCAAGATGAAATTTAAAGGAAGAACTTGTCATTGGTTGCCAAGCTCATGATGCATAGCCAAATATGTATAGTGAGCGATAGCTAAATTTGATGATTATAGCCGTGAATTTTAAAGATTTTCGGATATCGTAAAACAAAGGTGAAATTTTCCAATTAATGGATCTTATATAGAAATGTCGAGAAGCAGTAATAAATGAAGATAATATAAAAGAAGTTTTTCATTGTGATAACTATGCTTGTCAATCATTAGTCAATGAATGAATGGCGAAATCTGTAGTATGATTCTAGATAAGTTTCAGCTACCGATAGTGAAGAAAGTGACAGAGAAGTTACTGAAAATGAAAAAATTTCGATTGACAAATTAGTTGGAAATTTCGACACAGCAATTACAGGGCTTGAACAGTGAAACTTTGAACAAGAGATTATGTCTGTATACAGAATTAAAGAGAAAGTATTATGCAAAAAAAATGAAGCAACTTAAACAACTTGAACAACTTACATTGAAAGAAATGTTTAATAAGTAAACAAATAAATATTAAGCTTTTTATGTTGTAAATTTTGATATCCTTTAGATCATACATACTTCATTATTTCATAAATCCCGATTTCATATTTTTAATTTTATAATTCCTACATACCATCTTACTAGATTTAAACTGATGATATATGTAATATCCGGAAAAATCCCAAATCCAGAATCGCCGATGTCCCAACGAGTCTGGATTTTGGACTTTGTACTGTATTTGAAATTTGAGATAAACTAAACTAGTTTTCCACAGACAGAAATTATAAAAAAATAATGTTGTCTTTACTCAGTCAGTGGAATTTCTTTAATTTGTACTATTGTATGAGACATCTTGTTAAATACGAGTCAAAAGTTTCCAAGTGATGCTGAAATTATTATTATTATTATTATTATTATTTTAATAAAGAGAAGTATGCTGTTCCCAGATCATGAAAGTTGTACCCATCTTAGTTCTATTATATCCAATTCAGAAATTAATGCATTTTATTATTTTTTTTTTCTAATAAATTACTTCGTAGAAGATTAATAGTTTATTCTGTATTTTGAATTTGCTGTTGAAAGTTTAATCCTGGATGGTTCTGTAGCATTATCAAATAATTATGTTTATTTTGCAATAAAGGCTGGATATTTAATTCTCTAAAGTTATAAGAATGGAAGCTATGAAAGAAAGAAATACACATTTCAATTCTCTATGTAAGATGAGTTTTTGCAGGAAAAGTATATGGAAACTGCTTTAGAACAATTTGAATATTTTTATTATTAACTGTAATAAATGTATTTTATAAGTGAAATGTGTGTTTTCATTAGAAGTGTGGTATTATATTACTGATGTTCATAGTGATCATGCATTTGCTGCCATAAAATATTCCATGATTTAAGAGTAATAGAAGTTTATATTGAATTGAAATATTTCAGTTGTTATAATATGTTTTTATATGCATGTTGTAAAATTCTCAGTGGTATCTCTATAATTATATTTGTAAATACTCATTTGATTTATAATTTATCTCATAAATAATATACATATTTATAGAGTCATTAAGTTTAACGATGAAGGAGGAGACATAAAAATTGTGCGATGCGCTTGCTGGGTTTCAAACTCCAGACTTCTCGATTATGCGTCGGACATGCTTCCAGTTGCACCACGAAAGCATGCAGAAAGGAGGAAGAAAAACTTTATGCATATACAGTCAAAAGTCGTTAATTCGGACTCGTCGGGACTTCGGCGATTCAGGATTATCGATTTTTCTGGATATTATAGATCATCAGTTTAAATCTGGTAAGATGGCATGCAGAAATTATAAAATTAAAAATATGAAACCATAATTTATGAAATAAAGAGCAATTATGATCTAAAGGGTATCAAAATTTACAAAAAAAAAAAGCTTAATATTTATTTGTTTACTTCATTAAACATTTCTTTCAATGTAAGTTGGTTAAGTTGCTTCGATTTATGTGATAATACTTTCTCTTTAATTCTATAAACATACATAATTTCTTCTTCAGTTACAAAGTTCCACTGTTCAAGTCCTATAATTGCTGTGTCGAGAATATCGACTAAATTGTCAATCGAAATTTTATTGTTTTCAATAACCTCTGTGTCACTTTCTTCACTATCGGAAGCGAATTATAATGATGAGGAATTTGATTCAAATCATGTCAAAGACGGAGTACATCGAAATGAAATACTAGATTTAGTAAGGAATAATAAGCGAAATAAAATAAAAACATCTGCCCTGAAGATAAGGATAGTGCTGACAGATCAACTTCCAATTCATTGCACGCCACGGCGCCCCCCTTCTCCCCGCCACTGAGCAGCGTGGAATTGATAACCAGATTTCGGAATGGTTAGAGAAACGAAGGATATACCTTTATCCATTTTTTGTAGCAATTCCACTTTTTGTTTAATGGACTTCGAAACATACTTTCGCTTTGTAGATCCTTTACATATTAGTAAATATATATCGGAAATTCTATTTGACATAATCAAAAGTTCAAGCTTACTTTTATAAAATTGCTCTAACAGTCTGCAAAAAATAATAATCCGGATCCAATTCGAAGATTAAGGAACAACGCAATCTGCAACATTAACTGAATTAGATAATTTTAGCTTAGCTTATACCGTCCGTTATACATTAAACGCCCATGCGTAAACGTATTATGCGCACACGCATATTCGCAGCCGTAAAGGTCTTACGCGCATGCGCAGAAAGTTTGTAGCTTTGAGGTCCGGATTATAGATCATTCCGGATTATGTGTGTCCAAATTAACGACTTTTGACTGTATATATTAATTAATTTTGTATGTTCAATAAACTACAAAATGTATCCTTTTGAACTCTCTTTGGATTTAGAGAATAGAGCAAGCAGATGAATTTGTCTGCAGCAACACAATATACATATTCAAAAATTTTAATTCTTAGCAATTATAAAGCAATAGCTAAGGTAATGTCTACATTTATTTTCAAATATGATGCAATAAGTAATCCACGCAATTCCTAAAGCAGTAGTATATACTGCATGCAGTTCTTTTTATTTGCAATAGAATGGTTAAATTAATCATGTTAAAAGTTGACTGACTGTGTGAGCTTAGTATCTCTTGATAAGAATGGCAAAAATTGAAAATATATGAATCTGCTTGTATTTTAGTCAAAGCAAATTCAGAAGTTCATTCTATATTATATAACTATATGCAGCTTTTCTTTGTGAATAAAGTATTGTATTTTTGTGTGCGAAGTCAATACGTTGTATTATTTTTTCCCTAAATTGTGACAGTTTTGTATGTAACTGTGAAACATTGTGCAATTTTGTAATTTAAAATGCTGATATAAATATTTAATCTGATTATTTAAAGAATGATTTGTCCCAAGAATTCTTAGAATTAAGGAATTATGTATTATATCAGAAGAAAGGCAAATTATTTTGAAATACATCAATTAATTGTAATTAAGAAACTTTCATCTGAAATTTAAAAATTTTTTCTCATGTAAAATTTGAAATTTATGACAATGATTCCCATGACTTTCACACACACATATATAAGTGAATATGTTTATAGCTCAAACACAAATCATAAAATAATTAAAAAATCAAGGTCATAGTACCGGCTCACATTCACCCATTGAGTGGTCAAATTAGTAGCTGGTCGAACCTCCCCTATTGGCAATGCAAGCTTGAATTAGTCGAGACAAGAAGTGGTAGAAGTTCCTAATGTCATCCTGCGACACATTCTGCCAGGCATTCAATCAGATGTTGGTGGTGCCCGGTGGCCTACTGTGTCCCAGACATGTTCGATTGGTAAAAGGTCTGGTGACCTTGCTGGCCAAGGAAGAGTATCAACCGCACAGAGACAGACAAGAAATATGCAAGCGGTATGTGGCCTGGCATTATCTTGTTAGAAAACGGCCCCAGGATGATGTGCCATGAAGGGTAATGCAACTGGCCGCAGGATGATATCAGCATATCGTTGAGCTGTTAAAATTGTACAGAGGTTGACTAAAGATGACCTGCTGTCATAAGAAATAGCGCCCCACATCATCACATCAGGGGTTATGACTGTAAAGCAAAGTAAGTAGCCTTTGTAAAACAAAGGCTGATTGGGACCGCTGGCCCCTGTCCTCTCCAGACACAAATATGGTGGTCATCTGCTTCAAGAGGGAAGTGGGATTCATTGCTGAACACTATACGATGCCAGTCTGATGACAGCCATGATGATCGGCTACTACACCACTCCAGACGTCTCCGCCGATGTTGTGGTGTCAAAGGCAGCCATCTTATAGGCCTCTGTTCAAAAATTCTCACAAATTTGTTACCTCAAGAACTATTTATTACTCGGAAATAGCTATCTATATCTCTTTAGTTATTTATGACTCTACAATAATTAAATAATTCCTTTACTCATACTCTCAAAATAAGGAAAACAAAAGTTACGTTAACTCTCTAAAAAGAACAACATCAAAGCATGTTGCCATTCTCTGAAACATAAACTTTCACAAAACATAGATAATAATAATATGAATAGATAATGAATAAAAAATCTATAAAGAAAACGATTACATCTGTTTGAAGCTTGTGCAATATTACTCAGAAGCTGCAGTTAGAAAAATATAAACAAAAATATTAGAGTCAAAATATTGTTCATCCTCCCACCTTGCAATATGAAATTCGGGATTGAGTATTGCAAAATAATAAAAAATTAAACATTGTTCTCACAAGTCCAATCGATGAGGGACTCTAATTATCCTTCCTGATTTGGTTATCGTGGGCGATTTTAAATGGGTATGGATTATTCTATTTGTTTCTACAGGTACATCATTAATTGGAGTTTGCTCTACCGAAATATTTTCGCATCGTTCACTTCCGCTGAATTTCGATGGAAGTTCCTCGGCAGTCGATAATTCCAAAGGATGAAGATTTTGTACAGCTCTTATGACTTCTCCATTTTGCACTTTAATTCTGGCTCGTCGACTTTCACCGTCGGTACCTGGAAATAATTGTATGATTTTACCAAGAGGCCAATTTAATCTCCTTTTGTCATCGCTTCCAATTAAGACAATGTCTCCTTCTTTTAATTTACAACTTCTAGCGAATTTTTTGCTTGTTGTTTTCAAAGTTCCCAGATATTCCTGGCGAAATCTTTTTTTGAGAACTTGGTTAACATTTTGGATACAACGCAATCTACGTTTATAAATGCTAGAATTGAAGTCATGTTTCACAATTGGCACTGAATAGTTTTGTATTTCTCGTAAAAATTTCCAGGTGTTATCGAAGTGAGACTTGAATCAGCCGATACAACTGTTAAAGGTCTATCATTTAGGATAGCTTCACAGTTACATAAAACGGTACACATTTCCTCATAACTAAGGCAGGCTCTCCCAAGAACTTTTCTTAATATTCTTTTCATTATTCCTATGAGGCGTTCCCACCAGCCACCTCACCATGGAGCGCCTGGGGAAATGAACTTCCAAATAATACGTTCATTAGCTCCTTTTTTTCCAATTTCATTGAACTCGATTGAAGCAAGTGCATTGCATGCTCCAACAAAATTTGTTCCGTTATCAGTATAAATTATGGATGGCTTCCCACGTCTAGCAGAAAAACGATGAAACGCTTGTAGAAATGTATCTGTCGTTAAGGATGTAACCAGTTCCAAATGAACACAACGGTACACTGCGCAAGTGAATAGGCAAATCCATGCATTCTTGTAGTCTCTTAGAAATATAGGTCCAGTATAATCTATGCCAGTTATTTGAAATACTGAGGCATCCAGTACCCGATCTCTAGGAAGTGGTGGCGCTGGTGGGTTAACATTTTTGTTTGAATAACGCTTACATGTTATACAAGTTTTCAAAACGGATGACACAACTCTCCTTCCAGCTAATATCCAAAATCTTTCTCTTAAGGAATTTAGGACGTGAGAAACTCCAACATGTCCTTTCAACTTATGTTCTTCCATTATTAAACTTTTTATAAGAGGATAATCACTTGGCAAAATAGCAGGAGTTCTGAACTCAGATGTATCTTCTCTTTGAAATATTGCTGTTTTAGTTCTGATGATCCCACAATCAATGGTTGGATTAAGACTTAAAATCCCTTTATCTTCTATTCCATTAAAGGACTCATTTTGTATTAAACGAATCAAGATATTCTCTGCTTCATTTAACTCAGATACAGTAAGTTCATCCTTTTTCTTGTTTTGATGTTTACATTTGTAAACAAAACGGTACATCCACGCTACCAGTCTGATTGTCTTACGATAACTTGAGAATCTAGTAGCAACTATTTCACTAGCATTAAGATTTATTAAGGATGAAATAATCCTTTTCTTTTTCTCAAGAGCTATTTCTTCTTCATCAGCACTAAAATCTTCTTCTGGCCATTTTTCTGGTGATAAATATAGCCATTAAGGGCCTTCCCACCATCTGGATTTAATTAAATAAGAAGCAGAGCATCCTCTATACTGGGCAAATCAGCAGGATTCAGTGATCCTGGTACGTGCCTCCAGGATTCAATAGAAGTCAGTTGCTTTATTTCCTTAATTCTGTTGTGAACAAATACGTCCCATACTTCATTTCTCTGTATCCAAGCTAGCACAGTAGACGAATCTGTCCAAAAATAAATATCATCAGCTTGAAATTCAGGTATTATGCTGGATGCTAAACGTGCACATATTGTAGCTCCAAGAAGTTCCAATCGAGCTATTGTTGTCTTTTTTCCTTCCGCTGGGTGCAACTCTCGCTTTAGCTTGCACAAAAATGAACTTGAACCGAATCTCTTGTTTGTACTCGAACAAAGGCCACAGCTGAATATGCAAGTTTACTCGCATCACTGAAGAAATGAAGTGAGATATTTTCAATCTCACGATCACAGTTTAACCATCTTGGTATTCTCATTCTTTCCAGACACTGCAAATCATTCAACCATTTACAAAATTGTGATTTTGAATTTGAATCAACTTCTTGGTCCCAAGATAACTTAACTTCCCATAGGTGCTGAAGTAAAAGTTTCGGCACAAGAGTTACGGGGCAAGCTATTCCTAAAGGGTCGAATATTTTGTGTGTAGTAGCTAAAATCTCTCTTTTAGACAAAATTTCTGGTAGATTGTAGGTGATGTTAGTAATATTAAGGCAAAGGTAATCTCCACATCGTTCCCAAATCATTCCTAATACATTTGTGGTACTAGAGGAATTATCTGTTGGGTCACTATATTCCCAACCACGTAATTCTAGCTTTCTTGTAGCTAAAGTATCTGAAGCAACTTGTATGAATTGTTGCAATTCTAAATCATTTTTCACACTCGCTAAACAATTATCTACATAAAAGCTCTTCTTCAATTGCTCAATAATATCCACTTTATACTTTGGGTTTCCATTTAGTTGTTTCAAAGTGGATTCTAGAAGATGGTGAATTACAGAAACTAGCAAGAAAGGGCTGCTTGTAACTCCAAATACTACCCTACAATGCCTGTAATACTTCAGTTTTCCATCAGTTCTATACCATAAGAATCTTAGATAGTCTTTATCCTTAGGGTTGAGACTTATTTGTAAGAATGCTTTTCGTATATCTGCAGAAACTCCTATTCTATTCTGTTCATTCGGAATCTATGAAGAATTGAAGGAATCAGTTCGATAAGGTTCTGACCTTTTTCTAGACAATCATTGAGACTAGGGGATCCTTTTTGTTTGGCCGAGGCATCAAACACTGGCCTGATTCGTGTAGTACTGTTTTCTTTTACTACGTGTCGATGTGGTAGATAATGGCATGTTACATCAATTTCGCTTTTTGGTACTTCTTCTATGATGCCTTCTTGTTCCCATTCACTAAAAACTTCTCCATAAGCATCATAAAGTTTCTCAGCTTTTAGTCGTTTTACTGTAGAAGCTAATCTCTTTACAGCTAAGTCATAGTTATCTTTTAACGGTAGATGGTTATCAAGCCATGGCAAGCTGACTTGAAAACGTCCCTCTTCGTTCACCTTTACAGTAGACAAGAAATGATCTCTTGCCTTCTTCTTGAAGTTCCAGTTTACTTTTTCTTCTCTGATGGGATCTAGAATTCCAAGTGAATCTAGAGACCATAGATCGGATATCAATATTTCCTTATTCAACATGGATGTGACGAGCAGTGCGGAATTGTCCGAGATCTCACGCATACCATTTTTCCCGAAAAGAGTCCAACCAAGTTTTGTTTCTATAGCAGCAAGGCCTGAAGTAAGCAATTTAAATCCTCCGGTCATCAACTTGCCTGCAATGTCAGCGCCAATAAGTATTTCTATTGGTCCATTACTATCGTCGCATACGGATATATTGTTCTCTTTAAGCTCTTGAATCCACTCGCCATTAGCAACTGGTGGTATACTTCCACAAATAATATCTTGGCTAAGAGCTTTGAAGTTACAATGATAAGTTCCATCCGTTTTAGACAAGAACACTGTAAAAACATCGTGGTTTATGACATCAGTACATGACCCGCCAAATAATGAATGGCTCAATCTTTCTTTAGATGTACTCTCAAATTTCATTTCATCTGCAGTGCTTTTTAAAATATAAGATCTCTGTGAAGCTGAATCGATAATAGCACGGGCCTGGCGCTTTCTATCTCGCCCTTTCAATGTAACCGTTAAAGTTTGCAAAAACACATTTGTTGTTCTCGCCAAATTGGCGAGGGTTTCATCTCGTTCAGGTACTGCATCCGTATTTTCATCCTTATTCGTGCTAACAGGAACTGGAGATTTTGATTCAGCTTGGATATTTCTACATAAAAGTATGTGGTGTTTCTTCCCACAAATCACACACGATGTTCGTTTTTTACATTTAGCTATTACATGTTTTCTGTCTAAACATAAAAAGCAACTGCGACTATTTAGAACTGCTTTTTGCCTTTCCTCAGACGTCATCTTTCTTGCTTTAACGCAATCACCAGATGCATGATTTCCAGCACAAAAAATACATCCAGTTGAATTTTGTTCAGATGTTGCTATTAGAGTAGAAGCAGAAGGTGTTTTGGAAAATTCTCCACGGTTTTTGAAACCAAAGTGTTTAGCATTCCCAGGCTTAGGTGTCTGATATTTAGTAAAGCACTGAGTAGCTATAGATACTCTCTCTCTTCACCTTCAATTTCATCGAGCAAAAATGAAAGCAAACCATCTAAATCCATGCGATGTGTTGACGCATTTTTCTCTTTTTGCTCACTACTTTCAGATTCTCTCTGACTGCGATTAATAACTCGGAATCTTTGCCATGCTCTTAATGTATCATCCGGCAATGACGATTCGACTAGAGGATATAACATCGCCGCATATTTATCTCTAGCAACACCCAGAACTTCTAACGCTCTTAGTTTCGATTCTAAGTTATCATAGAGTTTTCGTAATGAAAATTTCTGCTGAGAGTTTTTTTAATAATACTAACGAAAGTAGATCTCTAACATAGACTTCTATAAGAAGGTCTTCTTTCCCAAAACGCGATTGCAGTTGTTCTAAAGCTTTACTATAACTTTCGCCACCGGGCGGAAAGCTTTTGATTAACTCTTCAGCAGATGACCCTTTTTCCATAGACTGCAATAAATATGCAAATTTATCATGATCATCTAAATTGGGATCATTTATCGATCTTTTTAAACTGGCCCCAAAATCCTAACCAGCTTTTAATATTCCCATCAAAAATCGGAAGTTTAAGCTTAGGATAACGAATAGTAGCATTTTGAGTTAAGCTTTCATTAACAACAGAACCGTTTTCCTTTTCAGCTAAAAGCGAAACTAATTTACTTTCTACCATTCTCCACTTATCAATATATCAGCATTCTGACTCATCAAACTCGTTATTTATCACAGTTTCATCTTTTTCAATTTTAATCGATTCTTCTCTATAAGTCTGTTCTATTTCAATCATAGGTTTTGCTTTGTCCTCAACTAATTTAAGTTTCGAAATTTTTCCGTCTAAAGATAAATCATTTTCATTCTTCTCAAAATCATTTAAAGCTTTTGTAAACAATCTCCTAAATTGAGATCGTTTGCACTTCAAAACATCCATTATAAATAAACGAAAGAATTCTACTTACAGATAACAGTCCTGTCAGCGACGCCAAATGTTCAAAAATTCTCACCAAATTTGTTACCTCAAGAACTATTTATTACTCGGAAATAACTATCTATATCTCTTTAGTTATTTATGACTCTACAATAATTAAATAATTCCTTTACTCATACTCTCAAATGAGGAAAACAAAAGTTACACTTAACTCTCTAAAAAGAACAACATCATAGTATGTTGCCATTCTCTGAAACATAAACTTTTACAAAACATAGATAATAATAATATGAATAGATAATGAATAAAAAAAACCTATAAAGAAAACGATTACATCTGCTTGAAGCTTGTGCAATATTACTCAGAAGCTGCAGTTAGAAAAATATAAACAAAAATATTAGAGTCAAAATATTGTTCACCTCTATGAGTGTAACCCGTCCTCAGAAAAGCGCCGTAAGATGGTGGGCAGTACCACGGGAGGTGTAGACGTGGTTGTAGTGTGTTGAGTAGTTGACAGTGATAGCGTTGGGGTGGTTCGGGCTTTGCAAACAATCATCCTATCTTGCCTTGCATTTGTGCTCCTTGGCCTTCCAGAGCCTTCATTTCAGCGGCAATTTCCTTTGTAGCAACCATTGCTGCCAACTTCTTTGCACAGCTGTGTCTGTACACTACAGGTGGTGGCCTATTGCTTGGTATGACCACCAGCTTCACGCAACCCTACAATGCGACCACGTTCGAAGTCGTTTAGTTGTCTATAAGGTCTTCGATATCGTAATGGCATCTTTAGTTGCTTCTTTACGGAATTACAATGGCAGCAACAAGAAAAGATAAATTTTCTGCCTCTGTTAGTGGTTTTATACTTTGCAAATTGCGCACTAGAAATGCGAGCTATAATCGCAATTCCTGTTTATTTATTTGCATTGAAACTTTGATCATTTGCATGTTTGATCAAGATGTTTGTGCATACCAAATTTCATCATGATCGCAAAAGTCCTTCTTGGTGCTTCGATTTTTTTTGAAGAAGAATGTATACATATATATGAACAAAAATATATCAGTTCTTGATAAGCCGTGATTCATATATATCGTAAGGCAACTGCTATTTGATGAGAGTTTAAAAGTTGTTAAAGTGTTATTCAAATTTTCAACTGCTTTTCATTTTTATTTATACTAAATATGCAAAGTAAATTATGTAGTAAAG